AAAAGTGACATAGTCCAAAATATTGTTTGGGGAGCCAATTTTTTTTCAGGGAAGTTCATTTTGCACGGCCGGCTTATCGTAAAAGGAAAACAATGGGCAACATTGTAATCTTGTTCAACAAAACTCTTTTAAAAAATATTTTTTTATGGGTCTGTATTCCAATCGCTCTTTTTTTTTTTTTCTTTCTGCGCAACAAAATGAGACAAACCGGCAAGTACGACGGAATGCCGCTAAATGAACTCATTCGCTGCCATTGACGGCTATTGACGTCCAAAATGCATTTTCACTGCGGCGGCAGCGAATGAGTTCATTCTCCGTCATTAAAGGTGAACTTGGGAAGGGGGGCAGGGGGGTGAACCAGTCACAACAGCAGGAGCACTCCTTTTTTTTTCTTTCTGCGCAACAAAATGAGACAAACCGGCAAGTACGACGGAATGCCGCTAAATGAACTCATTCGCTGCCATTGACGGCTATTGACATCCAAAATGCATTTTCACTGCGGCGGCAGCGAATGAGTTCATTCTCCGTCATTAAAGGTGAACTTGGGAAGGGGGGCAGGGGGGTGAACCAGTCACAACAGCAGGAGCACTCTCCGAGGCGGAGAACATGAGAGGAAACGCAAACTCGCACAGAATTTTAGATGGAGGAAGAGGCTGACAACACAGGCAATGATAAAAGAATGCGCCGTCGGGTTTGTGTAAGCGAATGATCGTAAAAGAGGAAGGGGGAAGCGCAGGAAACTTACGCAGCTATTGAGATGTTGGCTGCTGACATGGGACTGACTTCCTTCACCTCCAGAGCCTTCTGCAGAGCAAGCTTCTTATTGGCCGCTTCCTCCTGTTCTTCTTCATCCTTTCGCGGGATGCGGGGAGAATTACGCGACGCGGCCGCATGCGTCGCGTTCGAATAGAACGGCGGCGCTTACCTTTGTGAGCTCCTGCGCATTTGCAAGATTGTCAACGGCGATAGCCAAGAAGACATTCAGGAGAGTGTCTGGGGAGCAACGCAACTCAGGAGAAATAAACTTACTAGCTGACGAATACACGCGTGGGAAAAAAAAAATTCTGGGAAGGTGTATCTGGAAGTTGCAGGTCACAGCTTTACCAGGACGAGAAGACATTTTGCAGCATTTCTCTCTGCCAAACTGTTTTGATTCAGCAAACGTTTGGGAGTCTCTTGGTGTCAAAAAAAAAAAATGGCAATCAGCTCGAGATCCGGACTGTGACTTAGCTACCCCGGAGAGCGTATTTTCTTCCGTTTACCACCCTTCTGTCGTTGAGTTACTTCTGTTCTCCGGTTCGCTGTCGCCCACCATCCACCCTGTTTTGAGCTTCAACCGGCAGGCAGACGGTCTGAGGTTTTCCTGCAAAATGTCTTCACAAACTCGGAAATTCGTTTTTTCGGCCACCGCGCCGCCAGAAAACAAAAACCGTGACCCCAAAATGATCGTAGGAGCGTTTTTCTGAAAGAGAGGATACAGTTTCCAAAAAGTGTCAGGACGATGAAGTAGACGGAAGAGAACATTCCGCGGCGGACGCCTCCTTGCGACTCGATGCCGTGGTACATCACGGCATTCCAGTCCTCCCCGGTTAAAATCTGAGTGAGTCGAGAGAGTTCCAATGACGCTTGGGCAGCTCGAGTACTGCGCGGAACTGAAATTAGCTGGCACAATCGGGGCTTTGTGAACACGGACTAATTAAGGGATTAAAAGTGAGCTTGTCAGGAGGCACCGAGCAATCATTTCTTCTTATTAACATGACAGATAATCATCTTACATCTTCCATACAGCCAAATTGTTCTCATTTTCAAGATGAACCGTGTATGGGGGGGGGGGGGTGGAGTCTTTTTTGAACAAGACTTATATTTGGGCTGTCCCACCTGAAACACAGTGAGGATGGCCGCCGGGAAGGTATCGAAGTTTGTCGTTGGCGTTTCGTCCTCAAAGTTAAATCTAAATCAGAGCAGAAAGAGAACACATATCACGAGGGAGCAACTCAACTAGCGTTGCACTAAGGAGAGCGCAGATATCTGCCAAGGCCAAACAAACAATCGGAAACGTGTTTTTAAAGGAGATTTTCACATGAGATTGAAGAGCTGGGTCACGAATGAGAAAAAGAGCAATGGTGATATAAAATGGCCTGTATCGCGATAGAATTGTTGTTTTTTTTTTTTTTTTTTTGTTCTGTAGTACTTGACAGTCAAATGGTTCTATCTGCGTGTTGCGGATGAAAAGAAGTCTATAAAAACGAGGAGAGGATGTGGTGCACTTTGTTCCCGCCAGACCACTCGGGCCATTAGCACCATATTGCGGCCCGCTTCTTCCTCTCAAGATGATCATGTCATAAAAGCATGTTGGGATGTGTGTGTTGAGTGCAGATATTACAGACACGCCAACGACGTTCCGTCTCGTTTTTGTCGACATGCTAGGAAACACCGTACACACACACACACACACACACACACACACACACACACACACACACACACTTGGAGAACAGTGGCAAATCCAAGCACCGAAGCTCAACCATGATGGGCTTTTGCTCTCGTGCGCATCGTACATGCATCGCATGAAGGAAATGAGGGGAAAAAAAGGGGGGGTGCGCAGGGGAGCGAATTAGAGGAGAGTGGGGAAGGGCATTGAGTGGAATTCAATAAGCTTTGCCTCCCTCGGGATGGCATGGTGTTGACTCTCCGCACGCTCTTCGCCTTTCGCCGTCGTCCCCGCCCTGCGTGATCATGGCATCCTCCATCACACTCACGTCCTCGGTCCATGTCTTCCCGACGCTTCCTCGCCTCGCTAACGCCCCCCCCCCCCCCCCCCCCGCCACGGCCTCTCCCACTTTCTTGTGGATTAGCGGCTCCACTGCGGGCGGTCGCTTGCTGCGCTTGTCGGTTCTGACCTCTGTTTACCACGATAATGGGGATCGGGAGCGCTCATCCAAACGGCACCCACGGAGACTTCATTAAATCGACTCGAGAAGTACGCGTCGCGTGAATCCCCAACTCCCCGCTCGCTGATGCGCTCACCTCGAGTTTATGCAGGCCACGGTGCTCAAACAGACCCAATTCGACTTCGTAAGAGGTTTTGGGTTGTTGTTTTTTTTCCTCCAAGATTTCAGAATTGGCAACCTAAACATTTTTGAAAGGTTAAAGAATGTCCTCCGTCGCAGAACAAATCAATATGGGAGCAAATGCTCACTAGGATTTGTAGAAATAAGGGAAAAAAAAAAAGTTTCTCACCGTACGGTGTCAAAACGTTGAAGCAGCAAAACAAGTGAACATATTTTGGTGGTCATTACAGTGAAGGCTGCATATTTGGTCAAAGCTTATCACAAAGCGACACGATGTCCTTTTGAGTCTCAGCAGGGAGACGCTCCACTGCCTCAAGCTGTTTATCTTTTAATTCACAATTTCACTGACACGTTTGGTGCGTCGTGAGCAAGCACATCACTGAAGGAAAAAAAAAATAGGCATTCGGGATGGGCCGACATCAAGTCATTGATTTGCCTTCATTTTTATTTGAGCATGCCTTCGCATTTTGTTGAGGGTTGGAAGCACATGAGGAATTGTCAACCTGAGGATGATAAACCAAAACGCCCTTCTTCCGAAAAGATTTAACTCAGCTGAGGCAGATTATTTTGCCGCTGAAAGTTAAAACGAACATCGCTTGTAGCCAGTGCAACCGACGTGCGCGCCGCCTGATGTGCCCCGCCGGCTGAAAGCAATCTGTGCACGTCAGGCTCATCTCACACTTGTCCATCACAAGAGAGCGATGCGCCGCTAATGATGGCATTGACTGATATAAGGCTCGGTGCCATGGCAACGGCCGGCTGCTTTCAAGGCAGCCCCGACGTGGTGTTTGCGAGGACTGTCGGTCCAGGGAGAATTGAACACGAGCGAAAGGCTCCTTTACGTGTACGTGAAGTGTCGACGCCATACGAATCGAGTCAAAGCAGTATGTGGCAACATCCGCGCTAGCTAGCGAGTGAGCAAGTGGCAACAGCGTTGGCAAAACAAATGCGACTTTTCTATTCTGTGTCTGGCGGTCGAACGTCCTGCGATAAATGGAGATGCTCGTCATTTCAATGGCTGCTTCTGGAGAACATTTCATTTCAATTCACCC